TCTGAACTGCCCGCAGACCCTGTCGTTCCCCAGCAGTCCCAGCAGCAAGAGTCTCTGAACTCCCCGCAGACCCTGTCGTCCAGTCCCTGATCACAGCCCCAAGATGTCGCGAGGTTTCGTGTTCTTATGATTACTAGGACAGTGACTTCTTATATTTGCGACGCTTGGGTTCATATACGATGGCAGCATCAGTACCCGAGTTTTAAATGAAACACGATACTAAATATTCTGCAAAAGCGACGTGAAAATGTCAGTAATCAACTAAGTGATCATTCATGTTTTGAAACGCTTGGAAAATGAAATCATAATTATTTACGGCATTCGATGCTTGCCTAACAATAATCGGATAGAAAAAGTAATAGTAAATGCTGTGTCATTCTTAACAATTCACGACATTCACAGCTTGCTGCGGGTATCAAACATGCAACTCACTGCTTCAGTTTTAGTATTCCGAACTGTAATCACTTGGCAACCCTACGTAGGCGACATGTTCGCTAATTATGATAGATTTGAAGAACATTGCCCTCTTGCAGGCGAATGAAAACCAATTTTGTTTACGTAAGGCATGAGTAGCATTTAAGGGATCTTATTCAGTTGAATCATATAATTCGTTATCGCTGTAAGATTTGGTCCTCGTTGAGAACAATTCAAGGCATGAGCTGGAGGCCCGACGACCTGCCTGGCCATATCATTGTATTCCTACTCAGCTTTAATCATTGTATAGAGCGAGGTGGAGACTTTACACCTGCATGCATCCGATCGCGGAAAGAGTGTTCATTAATCTTATTGGAACAGCAAGATTTGCAGTTAGTAGTTAGGAAGAAAAAAGTTAGTACATTTTATCCTATTAACACCGCTTAGCAAGTTAATGCAGTGATATTTGCATGCCGCGGAGGTCACAAGAAAAACTTTTCGGAAACGGTGATTTCAACCGATCTTGTGCTCCTCTCCAGTCCGAAATTCAGGAGCTTTCTTCGCCGTGCGACTTTTTCTTGATAAAATCAATTTTATTCACATTGTAAGCAGAAACTTAATATGATTATTGATGTTGCCCAACTACCACATTAACTTGAAAGGATTTACTTGGGAAAATTTAATTTCTCAGTAGCACATCTTATTTAGAACTTGATGAAGCAGAAAACGTATCTGTAGAGATACTAGAATATGATTAATTATAAGGGGCGTATTTATTTAATTTGTGGATTAATTCCAGCGCCGACTCGGTTTGCTATTCGGCGTTGTTGGATGCCAGCAATGCTGTGGGAGGAACGGCGTGGTCTGCTTGCTCGCCACAATACTCTGCGGATGTGCTGAAATATTTGACATGTAAGTGTTGAAATAATTACGAACTATTTTACTCCCAATTAAAACCATCGTTATTGTAAAAACTTCTCATCAATCACGGAAATATTTAGATTTCAATGTGCAGATACTCTGGAGTACGAATCAAACAGGCATTTTGCCCATTGACTAGGACAAAACCAGTTCTTTCATGAATGCGTATTGATTTTTCAATGATTCTAATTGAGTTGCCGAACGTTAACTAACTAATAGAATCCTTGCATCGTTTCACAGCACTCCTATAGTTGTTTAGCAATGAGATGCCACCAACACAACATAAACGACTGCTTCGTTCCTCTACAGACCGCAACTGCGCAATCTTCACAGAGCAAGACGCGAACTGTAATCACTTGGCAACCCTATGTAGGCGACATGTTCGCTAATCATGATAGATTTGAAAAACATTGCCCTCTTGCAGGCGAATGAAAACCAGTTTTGTTTACGCGGTTACATGCGCTTCAATGATTGCCAACTACACGAAGTGCGGGCTGAAAGCAGCCAAACTAGTCAGTAATGGACAATAATGAGCATCGAGTGCATTACTTGTGTTTATGACTGTACATTGAGCATCGAGTGCAAACTTATGAGTGTGACTGTACATAGAGCATTGTGTGCATTACTTGTGTTTATGACTGCAATTGAGCATCGAGTGCAGAACTTATGAGTGTGACTGCACATAGAGCATTGTGTGCAGTACTTGTGTTTAAGACTGTACATTGAGCATCGAGTGCAGGACTTTTGAGTGTGACTGTACATTGGGCACCGAATTCATGACTGGACATTACATTGTTGAATTAGTATAAGGTTGACCCATGGGAAGCTCATTTTGCGGATGTAGTTTGTTGTTCGACTGTGACGTCACTGATCTCAGTGACGTCACGGGCATTAACCAATCGCCGCAGTGCGGTCAAACCAGTCAACCAATCCATCATGGGAATAACGGGGAATGACGGGGTTGTTTACGTTTCTCGATCTCAGTGACGTAACAAGAAGGCTGAACTGAAAGACGGAAATCTTCGTGGGTCAACCTTATATAGTTCAACCTTGGAACATTACACCGCTCAAAAATTCTGGTCTCATTCTCGCAACACACGCGCTCAGCATTATTTATGTCTAGTCTAGGGCCGATTTTTTCGAGGTTAATGTCAGTCACAAACTATTGGGCGCGACCCACTGGTACCTGAAAAGTGGGTCGAGGCTGCAGGAATATATTGCTTCCAGGTACAAAAATTTTTCCATACATCATCATCAACGATACTCCTACATTTCTACGCAACAGCTCGCACGAAACGTGTGAGATAAGATCAGCTTGCGATACCCTTTCCGATCTTATTTAATGTTAACGAAATTTTCTCAACGAGCCAAAAAATTAGTTTGAATCCAAACTCCAGTAACCATATACAGTGGGGGGAAATAAATATTCGTACACTTGAAAAATCGTATTTTAATGTATGTAAGTACACAAACTTAACAGGAAAAGTGATTTAAATTATGTATAGAGACGCATAGTATTCAAAAATACTATCAAAAGAAATTAAATCTTAATGCAACAAAAAACAATGCAACATGTTCACTTTTCGGGTGAAAAAAGTATTCGTACAAAACAATAAATCCGCATTATTTTAATTTAATACTTGGTTGAATACCCTTTATTCAGCTCAACAGATACCAGTCTATTTCTATACGTCTCGACCAATATATATATGATTTGCAGATGCTGACCGGTATTTTATACCATTCTTCTTGGCACACCACCTTAAGATTCTCAATGTTTGTTGGGGACCTTTTCTTAATTTGAATCTTCAAATACCGCCACAAATTTTCAATCGGATTCAAGTCCGGCGCGTTGCAAGGAAGGAGAAAGTTATAGGAAGATTGCTAGCCACTTGAATGTTCCTTTTAGTACAGTTGCTTCGTTCATTGGACGCTTCAAGTGACTTCTGTTGAGAAACTAGAGCTACCTGGTGATTGGATTTTCCAGCAGGATAACGATCCTAAGCATACTGCAAGATCCACAAAGAAATGGTTCGCTGATAGAAATGTACACTTTATGGAATGGCCAAGCCAGTCGCCGGACTTAAATCCGATTGAAAATTTGTGGCGGTATTTGAAGATTCAAATTAAGAAAAGGTCAAATTAAGAAAACAAACATTGAGAATCTTAAGGTGGTGTGCCAAGAAGAATGGTATAAAATACCAGTCAGCATCTGCAAATCATTGGTCGAGACGTATAGAAATAGACTGGTATCTGTTGAGCTGAATAAAGGGTATTCAACCAATTATTAAATTAAAATAATGCGGATTTATTGTGTTGAATTCCTGGTTCTCAAATTCACTTCTCTTGTGTATTTCGTACGCCTGATGCATGCGTATCACCGACATTTTACTTTAGTTCAGTTTTAAAGATATCTAGACTTTCAGTTGCGGTGTTAGCTCTAGACTGTAAAGAAGGAAATGTTTGGTACGTGTGTTTTAATTTTGAAGATTCGTGTAACGTGTATATTTGACTTTTATCGTGTTATATGTTCGAAATAAATGATTTTACTTCTCGATTATACCTTTATGTGCAATACTAATTTTATGTAACCATTTTTACCTTTGTTTATTGTTTGTTTACAGAAACCGATTTATAAAGACAACTGAACGAAAAATCGTGTATTCAAATCCTTCGACAAACGAATATACGTAACATATTGTTTTGTACGAATACTTTTTTCACCCGAAAAGTGAACATGTTCCATTGTTTTTTGTTCCATTGAGATTTAATTTCTTTTGATAGTATTTTTGAATACTATGCGTCTCTATACATAATTTAAATCACTTTTCCTGTTAAGTTTGNGCTCCATATCTGCACCACCCGTTCTCCAGCTGAAGGCAGATAACACGTTCGACGACGCGGCCTTCAAAGCAACCACATTGCAGAACAAATGCGGCGCTGATGCCGAGTTCATGGCCGGGTACCCGACGTGCGTGAAGTCCACCATGAAATATTTGAACGTAAGTAAAAGCATGTGCTTGTCTATTTGATTTATACATTTTTCACATGTTTAGCTCAAATTTTAAAATAACAAGGAAAAATTACTAACGGCTGCGCATAGTTCGAACAATGAATTAAAAAATTATAATTCAGTACTCACTGCAGTGAGTGACAGTGAGCGCATTTTCTCGTCGACGAAAACGTGAAGTCACGGACAGACAGACGGCCAGACAAACAGACAGACGGACATGACGAGCACAATAGTGTCTTTTTTCCATAAATGAGAAAATGCGCTAAAAACGTCTTTCATAGAAGTTCAACGATGTCAGACCACTGCAACAAACAGAAGAGATAACAGAATGTCCGTAAATGTTTATCATTGATGATTCATGTTTCATGTTCCAGTTCCTCCGACTATTCAACTGCCTCGTGAATGGTAAATCCAGCGTGATGTCACAGAAGAACATTGAAATGAGCCAGAAGAAGACGAACTGAGCGTCAGAAAACTTTTATTCTTACCTAACCCATTTATTTCCTCTTAGACGTATTGCTGACCAGAAAAATGTAATTGTTGCACTTTTGAATTCGTAATTCCTTCGATTATGTTTGTGGAATGTTTAATATTTGGATTACGGATTTTTTTTACAGTCGAGTTTCACTCTCTCTTACCCATTAAATAAAGATTCAGGGAATGGATGGTAGGATGCATTTACTATATTCATTTATCCCTTTGCATGCATTATTTACGAATTATGCTACCACACGTAGTTTCTGGGATATATTCTATAGCTATTATGTAACAACACAATAAATGATTTAAATGCGACCCAATTGGCAGCAATTGAGACGCATATATTTTACTGCCCTGTCTGGTTTCATTGTATTCAAATTTCATGTAATGTTTTCGTGGGGAACGTTTTATAGGGGCCGATGTTTGCAGGTACGTCATAGTACGTTTTTCGTCTCATATTACGTAGTAAGTGCCACGTCATAGTACGTCCTTATGGAGCGTCCGCTCCCAGATACACTTAGATATTTTTCTGTGCCCCTCAACCCTAAAGGACTCCCTGAACGCGAGCTGACAGAACAGAAGCCAGCTAACAAATGTACTCGGAAAATATTCTGTCACCGAGTCAATAAGGCATATATATTCGATACTTCAATGAAAGCCGCGCAATATTTCAACCCAGCCGCATCACTCCAGCCTGACCTTCAACGCAAGACCAAAGCAGAAAAACACGATGCCCTGCAGTATTGAGGGTGAACGTATCGGCAGCGTAACAGATGATTGTTGATGATAGAAGTTATACTGTGAATGAAAGTAAAAACGGCTAAACACGCAATTTATTCAGAAATTTTAGAGCAAATGAAATGACACAAATATTCACCATAATTTATAGCACTAAATGATCCGGAGTCTAGCTCTTAATACTGTCAGATCGACCATCAATGAATGCAAGTACAAATAACTATAGGTAACCAAAATTCACATTGCAGACTTGAAGCTGTAATTTACAAATAAAATATAAATCCTATTACCAAGTTCAACTGGATTTGAACAGAACGCGGCGCTTAAACTAGGCAACTGTTTGAAAAACAGGATTCTAAAATTCGGAAGTCAGACACCGGTTATAGAAGCTAAAATTCTTAACTCGCTTTTGAATGCTGGGACTTTGCACTGCCCCGCATTGTCCTGTACAGCCAAATGAAAGGAATGTGCAAGCATCATGTTCACGAACTCTTCTTTTGAAGCTCAGCTAGTCTAGAATATAAGTTGCGTGACGTCATAACAACATTTACTGATCTGCTTTGCGCGCAACTGTAGGTACTTGTAAACTATACACGATCGCATCAAGTCAGGTGATTATCTTTATACCTGAAAAAATAGCATACCCTGAAATTCACAGACAATACACAAATATTGATATTCATAAGGTATTTCACGAATAAAACGTTTTAGACATAGTTTCAGATGCAGGGACAAAATATTGAAATGTACAGTATTAAACCAATTCCAGTAATCCTTCGGGGACCTTGTATAGACCATGACAGGCCACATCAGCCCAGGCCTACGCTTCTGCGCCGAGATCACTATGTTATGAGTGTACTTGTATACTATACATCAATGAGGTCCCCCCAAAAAAATGGATTTTTTTTTCAAAAGCTCTTCGTTATAAAACTTTAATGAACGCAATTGAAAGCATATAAAATGTAACTTGAGAAAGTGAATGTTTTTAACGTATCTGAATCGAACAGTTTTCTAGAATTAGTGGTGTAGACTCGACGTTAACAACCGATAGTAATTGACAAACTTGCGGAAATCGGTAAATACGCCAAACTACAAATGCCGCTGTGACAAGACTTCAGCAGCCTATCAGGACTGGAATGATCCCATTTTTATATTTTAAATTTTAATGAATGCTAAACTAAAGTATATTACTTAACTTATTGTTAGTTATGTCTGGTGCTGAATTGATCCTTATGCATAATCCTAACGAAAGGATGAGTTTTTTTACTGTTTCCATACCGGCATAGAGTTTAAACTAAACCTGAAACAAACGTTGCAACAGCTCTACTTCGGACGGTCGGGCCGGATCACGGATTGCTGTGTAGTGATCAGTGTATGCCAGTACCTACCTGTTCAGTATTCACTATTCAGTAATGCCACCCTTATACTTATAACTTATAGGCTGTAAGTTTGTAACACGGCGTCTACACTACTTCAGTAGTGACTCACTAGTGAGTACTTACTACTTAGTACTTCTTATTCATTTTTTTTATCACTGCCTCAAGCCTTCAAGGCTCAAGTCACAACAAATGCTTATGTGATGAGATGCTGGTGATTAGAGGCTTAGAGCCAAATAAAAACTATTCATTCTTTAAATTTGATACAGTTTGGACAGTTCATATTCATATTGGCAACCATTGTGGCAAAGCAGAGAGTTTTTTTTACTCTCCAGTCTCCCTCAGGCCCACTGTGCAGAGAGTGGATGAATATTGCAAGATCTTTGGCGACGCTTCAGTAGCCAAATTTTCGCCTTCAGAAGATCTTGGCGACACATTTAGATTGAAATTCTTGCATTTAATATATTTCTCAGTCTTTGGCCAACTATTTAGAAAAAAAGTAAGGTTTCCGGTGCGTTGGATGGAATACGATGCAGCTGTTGAAAATTTTATGAAATGACATGTTTGCGAAGTGCAAACCGCGATTTTTTAATCAAACAAAAATTTATGACATTCGAGCCGCGAGATTTCATACCTACTGAAATTATATGATATTAGAGCTGCGATATTTCAGACAAAAATAGGACTTTTCCAGACTAGTTTGCCACTATGTTGGCAACTGAGTGGCAACTTGGCCCACACTCAGGAAGATGTATATAAACGGGGAAATTTCTCGCGTAAATCAATCTAATTATATTTTTTTTGCGCAGGCGTTCGTGCAAATCAGGTCATCGATTCCGTGCCGCGCAGCACTCGGCACGGGCCGCGGAGCCATCCGACACAGTTCTGATTTAGACACAGTTTTAATCTGAATGGAATGGCAACATCGTCTGTAGATGATTTTAAGTAACGCTGAACCAGCATTGTCAGACTCAGATGGTATATTTCTATACCAGATTTCACAAATCTGGTATTTTCAAAAGGTGTCTGGTATGAATATTTTAGATCTGGTATATATGCCTAAATATGGTATTTTTCTGGTATTTTCTAACTTACTGCAATTTGCAAATTTACTGCATTTAGTTCCACCTCTGAAGTTTGAACTTCCTCCAGCGTAGGCGTGGATTATATTATTATTTATATGAATTGCCTTCAGAGCGGCACGATTAGAGCTTTCCTGCCATTTTTGGAACCGCAAGTTTTCATGTCAACCGGAACTTGAACACCACAGCAGAGAGTATTTTATGCAGCTAATGAATTTCACAAACTTAGCTGGAAGAGAGATTATTGAATTTTAGAAAAAAGGCGGGATAATTCAATGAAGGCTGGTGGCAGAGCTGCAATCTTGATACGCTATTGTGATTCGTGCTATGATAACCTACGTAGTACGTAACAATTTTCATATGATAGTTATAATTTTTGCGCATTCAAAGTACACATGACATAACATAACACACCCAGATTTGGAAACCATTATTGCTCAAATGAAGCAAAAATAAACGACAGACCATTGACTTATCTTGCAAATATATATATTCATATTTTGTATCACATAGCATAATTATGCTCTGTAATTATGCCTTATTGACCTAATTTGTATAGTCCATTTACGCGCACTGTTATTAGGTATTGATCGTGTCGATTTTGCCGGCCGGGAGGATGTCTGTAATGTAGTCCCACCATTGTCATGCAGGATCGTACTGTTGACACACAGGTTCATACCCTACTTGCCGCAACCAGTCCAGTCATTCATTAGAAGGCACTGATGGCACATCTAAAGCCATGTTGCCTTCTTTAGTTCTGTAATTCATGTCCGATTGAATTGTGATCTATGAATGAATATTCATTACTGTGCTGACTCTTAGAACCTGAGTCCTGAGTTGACGCGTTAGCAATCTAGGCAACTCATATCCAACCCCAACACAATGCGGATACATGTTTGTGTGTACGGTCAGTGTGATTACGTAATTTGCATTGCCGCACGTCCATATTTAAACTATTTTAGCTTTCTAAAAGTACGGCACACGGCGCATTTTTTACCGGCAAAGTACGGCGCACCACGCAGGTTGTTAGAATAACAATATAAATTCCCACGCACCTGGCACATCTTCCTGACCATGGCTCCTGGGTGGCCACTGTGAAGAGAGTGAATGAATATTGCAAGATCTTTGGCGACGCTTCAGTAGCAAAATTTACACCTTCAGAAGATCTTGCCGACACATTTAGATTGAAATTCTTGCATTTAATATATTTGTCAGTCTTTGGCCAACTATTTAAAAAAATAAGGTTTCCAATGTTGGATGGATTAGGATGCAGTGAAGCTTGTCCGGTAATCAGTTGCGATGAGTTCCCGCCAAAAAATGTAAACATCAAGCTTACGATTATGTAGTTGCGGTCACATTAGAGCAGTCAGACTGCATTATGATTATCACATGTTCAGTTGACACTTGCTGTACAATCGGACCATTTTTAGGGTAAAATTAGTTATTTGGGGTAACGCGTGCATGCAACCTTGTAAATAAGTTCGTGGCTTGTAAATAAGTTCGTGGCTTGTAAATAGTTTTTCATTACTCAGCGTAAATGGCTTTTCATTAAAAATGACCCGGCGATGCATCTTAAAATTACCTGGCGACTCTTAGGGCTTAAAAACCCATATATTGGCGATGCTGCATCCACCCTCTGCGCCCTGGCTGGGTGGTGCGGAATAGCAGCCTACATCCTAACCTAACCTAGTGCGATTTTTGGGTTTTACACAGGTTTCCAGTCATTCCCAGATCGATATAGATCATTTCCAGCTAAAAAAATTTTCCGATTTTTTCCAATTTTTCGCCGATTTTGCCAATTTTTTTTTGAGGAATTAGAGCCTCTGGTGTGTCCCCCCCTGAAACCCCCTGTTCCCCACAGTTCCCCCATTGTTGTTTTCTATAGAAAATATATAAAAAATTGGAAAAAATTGGTTTTCTGATGCCGACCGCCAAAAATGGATTTCAGATTCTTAATCTACATCCCTAAAAACATATAATTAAAAAAAA